AATACTTAAAAACCTAAAAGATTTACATTTACAGCTACGTGCCAACGTTCTCATACTAAGCTTAACTTTACTAAAATTAAACAGAAAGATTATTATATAATGAGTTAATGTCACATGAATTACATAAAAATGAAAAAAAAATATCCATCAAATTTTCATTTTAAAATTTATATAAAAGTTCTCAATTGTAGTGCAAATAGCATTGACATTATAAAATATAAATTATTAAATGAAGAAATAATTCTTAATATTATACATTAAAATATAATCTAACATACACAACACATTTTCTTTATGATATTCCATCAATGAGGCTTGAAATTTGTAGTTCAAATATATTAAATAGTCAATATCCAACTATTAACAGTTATATGAGAATTACTTCATCCAGCAGAAGAACAAAATTGTAAAGGGAAACCCGAAATTAATCCAGTATTCTGCTTGCCGCGAGTGACAACTTCAACTACATTCCTGCCTGCAACCTCTAATCCATCTTCGACTAGCTTCAAAACATGATCAGTAATATTAATATCAAACAGAAGCCTCACTTAAACAGGGGAAATTATATATGAGTGGTGAAGGTTAAAGCTTCATTTCAATTCAATGGTTTCCTTTGCTGAGAACATTGTAGGTTAGAAAACAAAGGCTTGGAACTGCTGCGGTAAACGGTTGATCTTTAAAGCCCTGAACCCGTTACTTTTAGGATCATAAGAAACCAGAGCTTTCTTGTTACACTCCAACACAATCTCACCGTTCTTCAAGACACATAAAACCAAGGTTTTTAAAACCGGACCGGATTGGCCGGTTGAACCGGTCGGATCGGTATCCGGTGGTAAAAACGGTTCGGTTCACATAAAAGAACCGTTTGTATGTCAAAATTGGTCAAAACCGGTCAAAACCGGTAAAACCGGTAAAACCGGTGTAACCGGAAAAACCACCGGTTCAATCTCACATGCAATCTTCTTTCCAATTTCACCCCCATCATTCCTTTGCTATACCGGTTTTACCCCTTAATTTCAACAAAATTACAAAATCACCAAAAACTAAATTAGAAACCCCTATTACAAACAACGTGGGCTCAGTGCAGAGGGCATGATTGCCGGCGGTGGCTGGCGTGCAAGCAACGTGGGTTCGGCGCAGCAAGCAGCAAGGGCCGGTTCGGTGCAGCAGCAGGGG